TTAGGGTGCATAGAGAGTGTGACCTGAGGATGAAGAGAAATAGATTTGTTTTACAAATGATCTCTAAAATTATTTTCTATGATCAGGCAAGGAAACGTAGTTTTAATATTTCTTCTGAAAATCTTTCTCTTTGTATTCTTTTAGGCTCTATTTTTTTTTCTCTCCCCCATGAAGTGCCTAATCAAAGTCTAACAAAGTCATTATAAAATGTTTTAATGGTGTTTTTATACTTCTAGTCATTAGGTTAAAATTACCAAAGTGTTCATCTTGGCATATCCATAAGCAGTAATATGAAAAGCCCTCAGCTCAGGGTACGTAGTTAGTTTAGTCATGTCCCATTGTGACATTAAGAAAACAATTTTCTATAGCAACTGCGATCCCCAAATGCAGGGCTGTAGAGATCACGTAACTGATGTGAAGTGATGCAAAGAATGTGAGAGTCAGTTGCAAGAATGCACTTCAGGTGGTGTCCAGGGTGGCTTGGCTTTTCGGGGATGCAGCCTGATGCGGGGATGTTCTCGCAAGGAGAGCGCCAGTCCTGAAAGCAGGCCTTCCTTCACTGCAGGTGGGGTCACCAAGCATTTTCAGAACCCTGACCCCCTGTGTGGTGCTGGAGGAGCAAAGGTGAAGAGATTGGTCCATATCCCAGTGTGGGGAAAGCCACATCGACAGCCGGTCCAGTAACCTAGAAAATGAGCACTGCATTTGTAGAGGCCCAGAGAGGGCAGCAACTCTCTTCGATTTTCCGTTCTTTTAAAGTGAAATCCATTTTAGGATTGATTTTTAAAACTGATTTTTATTGAATGGGAATGAAAGAGGAACTAGGCAAAATTGTTCAATTGAATTTACGTCCCTTTTGGTTATTCCACCACTTTCAGGACAAGCAGAGATTTAGCGTAGTCCTGGGACAGGCTCGTAGTGGGCGGTGAGGGCGAGCTCCTGGACCCGGCGCCAGGCACACACGTGGCTTGACGTTGCCTTCCCCTTCAGGTCTTGATTCCACAGCAAGAAGTGAAATTACAACCAAGGCAAGAGTATAAAATGTATACAATTGGTTTAAATTGTCAAAATAGTCATTTCAGGAATGAACCCTGACCTCTTAAAAGCAGTGTTTTGTAGAAGGAGAAAAAGTTTGCTAGAATTGAGCTGACAGTTCTAATTATGTACTTGCCCTTGAACCCGCTAATTAGAATGATTCTGCTAAAATACATATTGCAGAAAATCAGAATGTGAAAAATAGTGTTACCTGGTGTCCAAATTATTTTGATTTTGCACTGCTATCAGTAAAATATTTTTAAGCATATCCCAAGATGTTCATTTATAAACTATATACATTGATAAATAATACATGCATATTTGTTTTTATAAATTTAATATATTACAAATACTTATAAATTATGTGTCCATATGTCCACATGTTTTAAAGCATATGTAAAATATAAATTTTAAAAGAATGGAAAATGCGTAGAAACAAGTTCTAACATTTCCTTCATACTCCCTAAAGACTGCCTTGGACTTGCTCTGGGTATATACAGCCCACTTAGGACACCAGTCTAGCACACTGGACAGAGGCCAGAGAGCAGAACTGTGTTTTGAATACTCCGGCATTTGGGCTAAGTCTCTTTCTTCCCTACGTCATTCTAAATTCACTGATATATTATTATAAAACGAATGGGTAAAGTGTCACAAAAGGAACCCATATGCAAAAATATAAGTATTTATTTAGTGAATCAATAAATGAGTGAGTTTGCGGGAAACGAAGCCGTCATGCTCGTCTTGGTCATAAGTGTGAATTCAGCAGAGGAAACAATCTCTTTTTTTGTTTGTTTGTTTGTTTGTGAGGAAGATCAGCCCTGACCTAACATCTATTGCCAATCCTCCTCCTTTTGTTCCCCCAAAGCCCCAGTAGATAGTTGCATGTTGTAGTTGCACATCCTTCCAGTTGCCGTATGTGGGACGCCGCCTCAGCATGGCCGGAGAAGCGGTGCGTCTGTGCGCGCCCAGGATCCAAACCCGGGCCGCCAGTAGCGGAGCGCGCGGACTTAACCGCTAAGCCACGGGCCGGCCCCAGGAAGCAATCTCTAACATGATCTTTACCCCTTAACAGAGGATGATCATAGTCTTTTCAGGAACATCATGCTTAACAGCACTATCCTGTCCTCTTTAATCAGTAGAAAATATATTCATTTTTGGACAACAAACTAGATGTATCTACAGACTTGTGCTTTCTATTTTAGCAACTTCTACACATAACTTGGAGGCACAAAGTAAAAACTCTTCATATTGAAGTTGCTGTCCAGACACAGAAAAGGAGAAACACAACTTCTGTTTTTTGGAAACTCTTCAGTTCAAAGTTCCTCTAGATGTCAGTATTACATAAGGAAATGAAAATATAATAGCCCGTGGCAATGAATAAAGACCTTCTCACATTATTGAAATGGTAAAACATATGTAATATACAATTGGTGAAGAAAAATACCCAGCTTCATTTGGAAGCTGGTTTCTTTTTTCTTTTTTAAATCTTTACTAAGCATTTTTTTTTTTTGAGGAAGATTGGCCCTGCGCTAACATCTGTTGCCAAACTTCCTCTTTTTTTTTCTCCCCAAAGCACCAGTACATAGTTGTGTATCATAGTTGTAGAGTTGTAGCTCTTCTGTGTGGCCTGATGAGTGGTGAGTAGGTCCATGCCAAGGATCCGAGCCGGAGAACCCTGGGCCGCCATAGCTGAATGTGTGAACTTACCCGCTATGCCACTGGGAGGCCCCAAGGAAGCTGGTTTCTTATATTTCTCAGGATCGATGGCTTCTGCTGTTGGTCAAGTCAGACTGCTGTACCCAAAGAATAATGGCACAGCTGGTGGACATTTGCCACTGACACTCATATGGCCTTAGAGGCAAATGCCTATTGATCAGCACTCCACGGAGTTTTACAACCAAATTCTCAATTTTACATATTTTGATGGACTGAAATTGACTGACACACATCAGTCTTCATTAAGTCCACCTATGCTTTTGCCATCATTTTCACACCATCAAGAATAAATCCAGAAGCACAATGACTGTCCACTAGGAGTTTTCATTTCAAAAGAGAAGTGTTGAAAGATAAAGTTATAAAATATCTTTGTAACACAATTTGTTAAACTATTTTATGTGACTAATTTGAATATATGCTTTCAAAATTGCACTTAAATTCTTTCGCCCCTCTTCCATGTTAATTCTAATCTTTTGACCAATAAATATTTATTTCTTCACTATACTAATTAGTTTTCATTTTATGCCCTTCTCTCTTAGTCTTCTTTCTTATCTCCTCCAATTGCTGGCTGTGTGGTAGATATTCAATAAATGCTAACAATGACTTGTCTATAATCTTCCATTTCTTTTTTCAGAGTGACAGTACAGTGTAGGGGTGAGGAGCACAGACTGAAGTAGACAATTGAGTTAGAATCCTGGTTATATCATTTCTGAACTACAGAACCCTGGGAAATTACTCAACTTCATTATAAAATGGGGCTAATAGTATCTATCCCAAAGTGTTGCTGTGAGGATCAACTGAGTTAATAATGTAACATGCTTAGAAGAGTACCTGGTCATAGTCAGTGCCGAGTATATATTAGCCACCAACATTATCATCATCATTGCTGTCATCATCACCACTATCGTCATCACCATCATCATCATCATCACCACCATCATCATCACTGTGTCCCGGTCTCTGGGCTAAGTGCCAGGAATTCAAAGATGAACCAATCTTTTTGATCATTTGAGGCACATAACCTAGCAGGAAATTGACAGGAAAAAACGTTTAACAAAGTGTTGCAAGGGATACCAAGGTTGGGGGTATGTGCTGCGTGTTATACAAGCATAGAAGAGGGAGGAACCGGCTCTGCCTGAGGAAGCAGAAGAACATTTTACCTGTAGAGGGAAAAGTATGCATATGCCATCCCTGCACTTTCAATTAAAAGAGAAAGTTACAAACTCCAAAGCTGTAATCTAATTTCAGTTTTCCACAGATTTACTAAACACAACTCCGTCTTTCTAGGTCCCTGTCTGGAAAATGGAAATGCTCTGAACTTATGGGACTACCCTTTGGATTGTTTAAAAGTACATTTGCAATTTCTCTTGATATCCATGAGCTGCCCTTACATGCCATTTCGTGCTTGCAAGTCACCCTAAGGCAAATTTTGCTCTTTTCAAAGACAAAAAGACACATTCTTTGGACATCCATATAACTTCATTAATATATAATGCATAACTTTAGAATTTGTGATAATTTGGGTGGGTTGGGCTAATGTTTACCTTTTATGTGGTATTTAAAAAGGGTTTGCTAGGCTAATTCAGGGAAGCCAGGACTGTGAGAATTTTTATCTGCTTAGGAAAAGGCCCATCTGTTCTAAGCAATGTAAAAGCCCTATTTATAAAAGCTTACTTTAGTCTCCTACTTTCTGGTTTACAAAACCCATTCACATATATCTTCTCATTTTTATTTGATTTATATGTGAACCATATCAAGACAGTATAAATAGCAGTCAAGGGTGACATACACGTTATCAATATCCTTTAATCTGTTCATGAAGATGAGCTTTCTTCTACAAACAGTGCCAGAGTTTTACAGAATTTCTTTTAAAATAATGAGTTGATTTGTTTTCAAATACTGCAGTTTGTATGGGGTTTCATTATTTCAGATTGCTCCACTCTCTAAATTACCATTCATTTTTGTGTTTTTTCTGTGTTTGAATCATGCAATATAGTGGTTCTCAATCTGGGGCAATTTTGCCCCCAGAGGACATTTAGCAATTTCTGGAGACGTTTTTGGATGCTACAACTGGGAGGGAGAGTACTATCGACATCTGAGGGGTAGAGACCAGAGATGCTGCTCCACATCCTATAATGCTCACAACATCAGCCACAACAGAGAATCATCTACCCCCAGGTGCCAGCAGTGCTGAGGTGGGGAAACCCTGACGTATTACGTAACCTCAATTATCACTTGTGCATCCACAGGCTAAGGAGAAGGTGCGGTCACACTCCGGCCAGAAGGAAACGACCCCTGTCAAAGGCAAAAGGCAATCAGCCCTCACAGGTAACATCCTCAAGAGACTAGCTTCTTGTGGATAAAGACAGCTCTGCTGCAAAGTCCTGTTGTTGTTGCTCTTGTTCAGAGGAGGTTACCTGTTCTTAAAGCCCCTCCTCTTTAGGAGAAGAGCTGGGAGAATATCTTTGTTTGACTGGCTTTGGGTCCCACTACTTACAAACTAGAAAATCGTTGGGAACCCAGTTGTCAGTCAATTGGTCATGTTCACTTCCACTTTGCTTTTCAAAAGCTCATATCTGCTGATAAAGAGAAACCCGAATAGAGATGCCATTATGTGAACCCAAAATTATACTGATCACGTGTGTCTTCTATTAAAATATTTTGTGTCCTATGGTGGCTTTTAGAGAGATCTTCCCAGAAGAACCAGCCCTCCTCTGAGAAAGAAAAGGTTAATAAACTCAACAAGAAAACTGATGAGAAGACTGGTGCCTCTCTAGTTTGGAGGAGTTTTGCCACATTTCACACAGAAAGACCACAAGACGAGGTAGAAGGTTTTTCTCTAAGAAGTTCCACAGAGCCAAGAGAAGATACAGATGCAAGAGACGTTTCATGCCCAGAGAGACTCAACAGACAAGAAAATAATAGTACTGGAGATGATAAGCAAGCTACTGTGGATAAAAATGAACGTCCAATGCTCAAAGGAGAGAAAAACGGGCTTCATTCTAAGGAAGATACTAGTGAAAGAGAAGCTAAGAAAAAAGGAGGATTAGCAATTGCAAATGAAACAGCGCTGGGCATGTGTTTGAATAAAAAGCAATATGTGGATAAAACTAATGGGGATCAATTCTACGAAAGGTAGGGTTTAAAGCATTATACATCTACAACTGATGGTTTTTGTTGATTTATGTGCCATTGCAGTTGAAGGCCACATCAAAAGGATAACTGAAGTGAGTTTTTAAAGCAATGGTTTAGAAATCAGTTTGCCAGTTTGTGTGGATTTCTTGGCCACGTTTTCTCGCCATTATTTTTTCTTCTTGCCTGTGTCATTTTCAGGCATTTTATTATTTTCTGTCTTTTAGCAATTGATAGACAAAAAAAAGGATTATTAGGACTCACATCAATCAGTATTTTTTAAAGATCAAGTAAAAAGTTCTTCTTTTTAGCATTATACAAATCACATCCTTCCTAAGAACAAGAATTGAATAATGATCAGATTTATCTGTAAGTTAAAAACGTAATTATTAAAAAGTTTACCTATCTTATTATACATGACAAATTGGCTTTTTTCCCCAGAATATTGTGAAGATTGAGTAAGAGGTAGATTATTGAATGACTCTTCCCCAACTGTAAAGTTTCACATATAAATTCAGGTAATTATGTGGCCAACTAAAATTAATTACTCTACGTTACGATGAGCCGCAGAATCTTTTTGGAACAAAGAGTATCCAAACATCTGAGGTCTTTTTTAGGGATTTAAGATATAATTCTTATTTAATTTTTTGATAATGTATTTGAAATTTAATCGTGGAGAAGTCGAATTTTCCAAGGATTAAACATAAACATTAATGTTTCCTAAGAAAGTCCATCGCTGCAAAGATGTGCTTAGTAAAGTCTGGAGCTGCTGGAAAACTGCAGTGAGGTCACGTCTTTCACGGATAAAGGTTTACTCTCACCGCTGTTAGTACTCAGGGAGGTTATTGCTTCTTTTATTATGCTTTAATTTGTCATTTCTCTCTTCTATGAGGAAAGGAAGTGAAAAATTGAAGATCAAATTAGGTATTCATGAAATGACTGCTTTTGTAAAGAGTCAGCGAATGTCTTGGAGTTGCAATGAGGTCTTTAGGGAGATTCTCTGGGCTCCTCGTTATCTACACCCATTATCGTGCTGCTTAGATTTGATGAGGAAGCGTACTGCTCCATTTTATCCCAAAACACTGACATCGCCAGCTCTCTGTCACGAAGCTTGTGTCCCTTTACCAAAACACCATTTTGAGGAAGCTTTAGTTCTAAGAAATTTGACCATCTGAAAGTTTTCTCCCTGAAACTTTGAGAGCTGCAGCTGGATTTTATTTTCCAGGTGTATCAGCACTGCAAAAGCCATTTCTACATCACAAATCCCAGGAAACTCCGCGATAGGACCCACTGTCCAGAAGTCTGAACAAACAGAGCACACTGGCAGCAGCAAGCGGAGAGTGACAGAGGATCGCGTCACCAAAGAGGACAACAAAAAGAGCAAACTAGATGTGGCGGGGCCAGGTGAAAGACACACAGTTAGAAGGACGCAAGACAGCAGACAAGCCAAGGGGGGCCCACAGGGCAAATCCCTGGAGCCTGTTGGAATTCAGACCTCCAGACAGCACGACCTCATGACCCCATTGGGTAGGAAATGGCTTTTGTTTTAGCCTTTTAAACCTTCTTAACTTTTTCCAGCAAGCATTTCCAACTAAGTTTCACTGAGCCTAACAGCCTGAAGGAGACATAATGCCATATTGACACCGTTTTGTATGTAACCCAATCACTCTCTCTCTTTCATTATTTTTTTTTTGTCTGAAGAGACGAATGCCACCAAGAGAATTCTTTCATGACTTCTTTATTTTTCAGCATATTTGTGGTGTGAGAGGTGACTGTCCATATCAAATCAGATTCCTGGAGATTTATACTATCTGAATTTTTAAAAACATTAACACTTGGCAGAGTGCTCAAGATAAGTGCTCAAGAAATATATGTTGAATAAATGCAAATTTTTTAAAGCAAAGTTAAATCTACTCACCTCCCTTTGTATCCTTTGTATGCACGTAAGAAGCTGCATGAAGTAGATGCTTAAATAAGGAATAAATGGGGAAATGAATAGGTTCATGGCAAGCAAATTTTAACAGCAGTAATCACGGAAAATTAAAAAGAATAGTGGAAGAATATTATTGAGTAATTATGTATTTTAGAACCGATCCTGAGGTGGACCAGAGTTTAAACACTTAGGCTGAAAGGTGGAAAGTGGGAGAAATTTGAGAGCTGTAGTATATATACTTAGCCAGTTTTACTGGGTGTTTTATTTCCAGCCAGCCAGGAAAAATTCATCTTTGTGCCTTAAATGTGTCTTAAATAAAGCCTAAAATATTTTGGAAAGTAATATATAATAATATGAAACATTTCAATGACATGAACAAACTTTTCATTTTTCTGTTTTCTCTCTGCTTTAATTAAAGTAATGAACTATATCAGTGGTGCTTTTTAGAAAATAGGTCAAACAATTTCTCATGTTTGAATTTAAATGGTCTCAGCCTTGGAAGTATTAACTCTTTGGACTGCATTGGGATTGGAGATTTTCAACTAGTTTAGCATTTCTAAAAGTTGTCCTGAAGATGGTATGACCTGTCATTTAGTGGTGCTGACATTCTTTCTCAAAGATGTCAGGTGTCACCCTCATGAATCACAGATCACAGTATGAAATGAAAATTTATATTCCCTGGATCGTTAAGAATAAAACAGATGGTCTACTGTATTTTAATAACAAATGAACAAATTTTCACACTGAGGTCCAATGCTTGGGACCAGAAAGAGGTTTGACTGCTTAACAGATGGCCCTTCTTTCCCTCTCACCTTCTAGATGACAGCCCGGCTCCTCCTGCCCCATTTCCTCACCGTATTGTGACAGCCAAACAAGCAGCAGTCGACAGTTTTTATACCGTGAGCAGAACCGAAATTTTAGGAGGGTAAGTAATGCTCACTTTTAACAATCTTTCAACAAAAGAAGAGAGCTTTTAAAGAGAGGGATTCTGAGGACTTCATACATGTTTACCAGTCACAACCTGAAAACCAGAAACATCATATACATTTTAAGAGATTTTAACCATTTCTGAAAATTGTCACTGATGTCAGAAAGGTTGATGTGGTGACAGTGACTAAACTTCACGTTTATTATCTGCTTTACTTCCCATGTTGTAGTGTCTGAAAGTGAGAGAAACCCAGTGTGAGTCACCAGGAGTTTTAGAAGCTGTCCAAAGCTTAAACACCGAGAAACAAAATGTAGACATGAGCAAACACTGCATGTTTCTTGCTGGATGTGTTAAATCGTTTTTATCATTGTTGTTGTTTGTTTTCCATTTATATTGTTACTGCATTGACTATTTTTATCCATTTCCATTGATTACTTTCATCACTGAAGAACTTCTTCGAAGCGCATGTAAATGCCCACTGTCTCCCTGAGGAAGGAGGAGTAAAGACCACCAGGGGCCGAGTTCTTCGCCCGGGGATGTTCCTTCCTCTTCTCCTTCAGTCACAATCCCCCTATGATATCTTGTAATTTAAAGCCTAAATTATAAAGTTTACTTACTATCAGCATATCTATGTAAAATAGAAAGAGGAAAGCAGAAAATTTATACAAATATATACAAAATTGACTTACCAACACATGACAAATATGCATACTACTATAGCGTGTGTTTCTGCAGTTGGTCACTGGGGGTGCAGTTGATATTTGTAAAGTCCCTTCTTCCCCTTCGCATTCCAGATTTCTTTTGCCCTTTGCCACGTGGAACCATCTGAACTTTTTCCCCCTCAACTGGCTGACCGTAGAGAACTCTCCTTGAGACTGTGGGGATGGGCTGAGGGAGAAATGGAAATTCCAAAACATAAACAGGTGCCGTGGGAGTCTGTAGTATTACTGCACATGGCAGCTTATCTGGGTCTTCAGTGGCAAGCCAGCAGCTGTTTCTCTAAAGGAGAATAGTTATTTTCAGAAGAGGATTTGAAACAAATCCCCTGTTTCCTGGGAAAGTTTGTCATTGGCTCCTTAAAACTTCCTTTCTGCCCCTTTGGGCAGCATTGGATCTCCTATCTATTGCTCCCTGGACCAGCTGCTGGTCATCTTCTGTTCTGGGCTCCACTCAAAACTGGCAGCCATAACTCACTCAGTAAATGAGTTAGAAGAGCACAATCAAATGCGCACTGTTGCCTTAAAATGCAAAGGGATCATCAAGTGTACCTCCTTTTTAGTAGTCAGAGATCCAAGATGCAGCAAATTATCTTTTAGCTTTGGCAGAAATATTGCAACATCTCAAGGAGCACTGGATCCCAAAAAACCTGCCTGCAGTGGCAGGCCCTGAATTTTTCCAGAGTTCATCTCCCACCCTGTGGCCTCTAGGGTATATATAATCCCTCCTCTTCATGTTCAGTTAGCATGAGGTTATCAGTATGGTGGACCAGCAGGAGTCCTGTGAGGTGGCTTAAACACTCAAGACCTTTCCAGAATAAATCATGCCAGAGAGACAGCCGAGGTAGCCCTGAAGTCAAACAGCGATGTGGCACCACTACTGGGCCAGGCGGTTCTGGGGCCATTGCTAATTAAGAGAAAAAAGCCTTCTTTTAATCAGCAGCTGCATTATGAGGTACCTGGGGCTGTGCTCACGGGCTCCAGTAAACAGACTACATCCTGAATGGTGGTGGGGATTGAAGTCACCACTTGGCTACGGTCACAGGAATGTCATTCTCCAGGACCATCTGCTTCTGCACAGGGTGTGTCGCTGAGCTGAGTGGCGTGTGGTGGCGGTCACCACCCTGCATCTGTCGCTTGTCTCACCTCTGCAGTCCTCCAGGAATGCAGGGGTCCTTAGGTTCCTGGTGTTGTTTGAGAAGTTTCCCTTTCCCTCCTGCTGTGATAGCCACACTGCACAGGGAGGGGCCTGTGTTTAAATCAGGAATCAAAGCAAGCAAGCCAAATTTAAAAACTGTTCATGAGTGTGCATTTCCATATGTGATTACATATGCAAGAAGCTGCCTTACAAAGTATACATAAATTTTTATGCAGCTAAACTGCCAAAAGATCTCATAGGTGATGATGTAATACGTATTTTAGATTTTATGTGTCTATATGCAATATGGTCATTACTTCTTATTGATTTATACTCAGTTTCCAAAAATAATTTGATGTGCCTAACCCACAATTGTTCATATTCTTTCAAAGTCTAGCTTATTACATTTGTATGTGTTCAGAAAGATTATATTTTTTCTATAATAGAAGTTCTCAAATTTTAGAGTATGAATGACGTATGACTCACCCAAGGAACATGGTGAAAATGCAGATTCTGGGGCCTCACCTTGGATTTCTGCCTCACTATGTCTGGGGTAAGGCTGGGAAACATGTATTCCTAATGAATCCCCAGGTGATTCTAAGGCCAGTGACCCACAAACCACACCTTGACACTGTTCTAGAAGTTTACTGGCTATAGTGACTACACTAACAGATTTGCTCCTTCACCCTCAAAAAGAGAAAGGCCAGGGACGACTGCACTGTCCTCTGGGCAGTGGTGAAGCTGCGGGCGTGGGCAGAGCCCTCTGCTGCACCAGCTCCTCTTCTTTGGCAGCGGGCGCTTTGGCCAGGTTCACAAGTGTGAAGAGAAGGCCACAGGTCTGAAGCTGGCGGCCAAGATCATCAAGACCAGAGGCGTGAAAGATAAGGTAAAGACCGTGAGCTGTAGATTTCTCCTTGCCGTCATCTTTTCAACACTAAATGCCTTTCCTCCTTCTCAGGACGAAGTGAAGAACGAGATCAATGTCATGAACCAGCTGGATCATGTGAATCTCATTCAGCTCTACGACGCCTTTGAGTCTAAGAATGACGTTGTCCTGGTCATGGAGTAGTATGTGTTCCCTCCTGCCACCCCCCTCCCCTGCAAAGCTCTGCTCACACGTGCAGAGCGCCCCGCAGCACCAGGACCACAGCTGCAGCTCTGTCCCGCCTCAGGACTGCCTGAATGCACACTTGGTGCACCGCTGATCCTGACGTGTGTGGATCAGACAGTCGTGTCAGTTTCAGAAGGGAAATTACTTAGGAATAGATATCTCCATATGTGCTTTGATTGATAAGAAGTAGAATGGCAACATAGATCTAGCTCTATATCTAAGCCGTACTGTCAAAAGTCAGGCGTAAATATTATTCTGGTTAACGTGGAGGAAAGTGATTTTTGAACTGCCTTTTGCTTTCAACCTAATTGCTGATACAAAGTTCAGGTGAAACCTAAGAATTAGGGCTAAGAAGCTTCCATTTAAAATCAACTGTATAAAAATTTAATAAGTGTTTAGATAGAAAGTGAGTAGTTCTAACTAACACTGAATCAGCGCTGTGATCCAGTTCATTTTCCCCCCTCATTTTGGGTTTCATTTATCATTGTGCAATATGGAATTTTGGATGATAAAATGTTTAGCATCAGCCACATAGAAATACTTTATCACTGAAATTGGTCTGAGGAGACCTTGCCTCCTCTCCCTGCCTTCTTAGAGTCCTCTTTGTGGTCCATGCATGCTAGAAAGTGGAAGACGTGGACTTGCTCCAGAGCTGCAGCCACTGCATGACACTGTCCATTTGTGACATTGATGGTGGCTAAACTGAGGGCCTTCAACATAAGAGCCATCTAACTGAGATAGGCAGAGAAATAACTGTGTGCACATATCTGCTGGAAGAGTTAGAGGAGCTACAAGAAAACCACGTGTTCACTGAGGGCTCCCTCCTCTTGCTCTGCAGTGTGGACGGCGGGGAGCTGTTTGACCGAGTCATTGATGACAGTTACAACCTGACCGAGCTGGACGCCATCCTGTTCATCAGGCAGATATGCGAGGGGATAAGACACATGCATAAGATGTACATCCTCCACTTAGACCTGAAGGTAGGGTGTGTTTATATCGTATGAAATGTCCACCCTTGCCAGCCCCTCCCCTCATGTGGAACAGTGGACCCCGTCAGACACTATACACCAGCTCAGGACATTTATCCCGCCACTAGGTACATATTCAGGCATTACTAAAACGTGGATTCTTAGCCTTCCTCTCCCATTCCCAACTTCTGTCACCCACTGATATTTGCATGTCTCCATCTTTAGGGACTACTATTCAGATTCTTATAACTTGCCTGTGTTCAAAGAATCCACATGGAAGATAGTTTAGAAAGTTCAGAATGTAAACCACCACGACCACCACCATGGTATCCTTGTTGTATCCCTCTCTTTGAGAGGATAAGTAGGTGGGAGGATTTTAGCTAACTCTGAATTCCTTAGTAGTAGCCAAACTTTCAAGCTCTCCAAGAGTCCCCAGCACTCTCCTAAAATCTTTCAGGAAGCTCTGTGCTTTAGGGATTTGTTTTCTGTGAGCATGCTAGAGCACTGAGGAGAAACCCATGGCAGAATGGGATACAAGGCTGCCAGAAAGGTGACGCTAAAATGTTAAGGAGTGGAGAAGGGTGCTGGCAGTGGGCCTGGGCACCACGGTGGAAATGGTGGAAAGCCTCTGTGAGCTGTGGGAGCAAAGCCACCTTCTTTTCTGCTCTTATTTAATGACCCTTCTCTTCTGATCTCTCTCCCACTATGAAGTCCCTAGAATTGGACTGTACATAGTCCTAGTTTCAACCAATTAGAGAGCCAGGCCCAATAACTCTGACCAGCTCTAATATTGGGGCTAAGTATCATAAAGCACATCTTCTTGTGTGGCTCACTCAGTTTTTCATTTCCTTCTTTGCGCAGCATGACAGTGAGATAAAATATATATTCTATGTAACATACCATCTCTTGCAAGTCATCAGGGATTGTAGAGCTAAATAAATTTAACTTCCTTAAATAGGTTTCCATGAGCTTCTCTTCCTATTATGTGAGGTCTCTCACTGTCTTGATTTATGTGAATTGCCTCTCCCATTCACAGGAGGAAGTGGCATATAAAATGACAGCGTCGGAGGTTAAAAATTATTAGCAAAGCTCTTGGCTATGAGCTAAGTTTGATAATGCATATTTTCATGGAGCACTTTCATTGAGTGTAGATATTCTACAGATATCCCTAAAGGGATTTAGTTGGCAACTGGAACTAGGACCTGACCTATCATAAGTCAAACAACTCCATATGTGGCTTCATAGTGTTGATTGAGAATTTGCAATGGGCAATTTTAGTTATGGTTTGTATGTAAAGATAATAATAAAGGCAACAGCTGGATGGGTCATTAAGGACCAGTTATCTCTTTCAGAAAGCTCCTTGGAAAGAAAAGGGCCAAAAATATTAAGAGTGCTTGTCACTATGTATGGGAGACTATAGGTGACTAAAAATGGTCTCCTTTGTATTTTTCTGTTTTGCAAATCTTAATGAACATGCTTTCATTTCATAATTAGAAAAAAGATTAACTTTTTGAAGTGCACTCAAAGCTGTTTCTTTACATTCTGCAAACAAATTTTTTATGTCATAATATTCTTTGACAATTAGACAGCTTTATACATGATTGATCAGTTAATATTTAAGCATGAAACCAAATGTTCTTGTATAGAGCCCACTTCTCTATAAATAGCTTTACTCACAGACGTCTGTTTTAGAGATATTTTAGAAAAGGGCTTCCAAAGACATTATGCCCAACCAAGTGGACTACTGAATATTGATAAGGAGACACTACATCATTTCTTAAAGTGCTTCTGAGTTTCTGATCTCATTTGAACCTCCTCTCCACCCAGGCAGGCAGGGGAGGGGCAGCCAGGATCCCCTTAAAGAACAGGACATGGGTTCCTGCTGCTTCGGAGACTTGGCTAATGCCCCCCAGCTCTTGGGGAAGAGTTAGCACTAGAACTTGAGATCTCCAGGAAATTCTTTAAAAACTTTCTCTTTTATGGATGACGTTGACTTCAAATCAAATCAAATCCCTTATTTTTCCTAGGCTTCAGTTTTTCTGTCTTAACAAATGTCAGTTCACGCGTAAGACTCCAAGTTGCAGTGCCACTATCTGCATCTCTGCCTCTTCACCCCAAGACTCTCAGATGGGCAGGGCAAAGTCTCACCGAAGTCACATTCCAAGGGAACACTTAGTCAAGGGTTTTAGGCATTGAGACCAAACTCAGCAAAACTTTGGAATTGCTGAGAATGAGAATGAACAGGGCGGAAAGCCTTCCTTTTACACATGACTTTCCCATAGACCAAGGGAAAATCTGGAGGTCAGGAATGTTCACATTATACTGCATATTCAGTGTGGCTGTTTAAATGAATCAGGCCATTTCTCTTGGAACTCATAAATCCTTGGGAAAAATATTCCTTCAAGAAGGGGAAATTCATAGTTAATAATTTTAGGGGGCAGATGTCAAGTCTGAGACAGCCTCCACCAGTCCATTTGGAAAGTACTGAAGCAGCCTCCTTTTCTTTCTTCCCTCAAGGAGGCCTCTGCCTGAACTCACACATTATGGTAAACTGCAGGAGCAGAGAGAGGGACAGGCAGGGTAATGCATGGTTGGCAGGGTACCCACAACCTCATCCACCACATAATTAAAGGAGAAAATACCCACACAGACAAGCCAGCCCCAAAGTGAGAGGCCTGATATGTTTTTCCTGAGCATCGTTGTATTTTTAGTTGTGGTTCAAGGACAATTTGAGTGAATGATGGTTGTTTTCATTGCTAATGTGTCTCTTTCTCTTGGCAGCCTGAGAATATCCTGTGTGTGAATCGGGATGCTAAACAAATAAAAATTATTGATTTTGGATTGGCCAGAAGGTATGTCTATTTGGACATAGGTGTATGAATGAGGTTGGAGCATGATGTGTGCTCTTTCTTTGCAAAGATAAATTTGATATACCCCTTGGTTTCATACCTTCATTTAGAATTAACACCAATTACGTTCAGCCTTACCTTGCTGACTTTGGGTTCTGAATGTTTAGAAGTTTCTACAGTGCACGCAAGAAAAAATACGCAAAATTAAACTCTAATACAGTGAAGTTATTAAATTTGAAGACATTAATTTAGAATTTATAAGAGTTTTTCTTAGTCTTTTATATTTGTTCCACCTGTAAAGAGAAGATTTACTTAAAAAAAATTAGTAGTGTAAACAAGATTGCAAAGGGTTCTGGCGTATATGAGCTTCTTAAGAGAACAAAGAGTTTGCATGGACTTCAGCACATCAACGATGAATATAAAATGGATTTGTAAATTATTTCATTTTGTTTATTCATTAATACTGGTTTATTCAAGGGATCTACATGTCAAGGACTGTATCAGTTTTCCTTTTGTCATATTCCATAATTTAGGTGTTCTAATTATTCAACAACTGTTTCAGATTATCAAGGTTTTATAGTATGAATTATGATTCCTAAAATTCCTGGAATTTCTTTACCAGTTTTTGACAGTGGCTCTTAAATATGTGATTTCCTTTAAAGTCTATTTATTTTAAATTTGCTGTATGGCTGAAGTTAGTTTGTCTTATAGACTGCATCTTTTCGGTTTCCATGACTTTGGATTTTTGATTGACGCTCTCCATCCCTCCACTTTCTCTCCTAAACTTCAGATACAAACCCAGAGAGAAGCTGAAGGTGAACTTTGGGACCCCAGAATTTCTTGCCCCTGAAGTTGTGAACTATGATTTTGTTTCCTTTCCCACTGACATGTGGAGTGTGGGGGTCATTGCCTACATGCTGTAAGCAGAGCTCTGGTCTCTCTGACACTTATTCTCAATCGCCGTGCATGTTCTATGGGGGTTTGCTATTTTGAATAAAAGCTGTAATTTAGAGCTTTCAAAAATAAATAACACGGTACCATACTCAGTTACTTTCTAGGCTCTGTTGAATCCTGTGGGTAAAAGGAGTAAGTTCTTTCCCTGCACATTATCTGAAAAGTAAATGTATGTTTTCTTCACTCATCACTTTAACTCCTAGCAAACCACCTAATGCCTTAAACATAATTAAAAACAAACAAAAAACTAATGTCCTGATCTCCTAAGTTACTAACACTAACCTTACTCCAGAGGTGACCCTCCTGGTGTTTGCCATCTGAGTATGTGACAGCACTTTGCTAGCGGTAAAATGCCTTAAAAAGGAAGTTGTACTATTCTTTGAGATTCATATTCGAGTGTAGTTGCTACCTTCATTGTTGCAATTGTTTAATTAGGAGTTGAGGTCGGAGAAGTAAGCATTTTCTTGATTGCAAAAATACATTATAACATTACGCTTAGTGATCGTTATTTGCCTTCTTTCAGTTTTAAATGACAGAAACAAAAACGCAACCTATCTGTACAGGGTTTGAGGCTGTTTAAAAAATACTCACTCTGGATTCTTTGTCTTACAGACTTAGTGGTTTGTCCCCCTTCCTGGGTGATAATGATGCTGAGACCCTGAACAACATCCTGGTCTGCAGGTGGGACTTAGAGGATGAAGAGTTTCAGAACATCTCAGAGGAGGCCAGGGAGTTCATCTCCAAGCTTCTGATTAAGGAGAAGAGGTAACTCAAGTTCATTCTGTGCTCTGGAAGAAGTAGGGATAATGGGGAAAGAGGATATCGCCAGGGTTATTAGAATTCATGTCAGATAATCCCCGAATTCCCTTAATGACATCTGTGATGCTCCTGCAAAGATCTAAATAGAATGAGTCTGAAGCTCTTGACCCAATTTACTGAGATCTGGGACTGCTTTGGTCATGAGGCTTGAAAGAGGCTGCAAAAACTTCCCTCTTCCTGTCTCTTACAATGAGGCTCTAGCAATTAGGTGCTCCTGCTGGGCCCCAGTGGGCTCATCTCAAAATGAAGGTTTGGGATAAGTTATTTCCGTGATCCCTTTCACATCTACAAAGCACGTATATGGCTCTATGTAGCTGACACCTTCTCATTTCATTTGAGAACCTGCTACGGGCCAGATGGTGTCAAGTGCTTTATGGACATTCTCTCTCCCGTCCTCCGCCCCAATTCCATGAGGTGGGATGATCATTCCTACTTTACGGGTGAGACTCTTGAGTAGTTTGCCCACGATCATATGGCTAGTAAGTGGCAGAACTGATATCCAAACACAAGTCAACCTTCCCCCAAGGCCGCACACTTAACTGTTATATATTATGCGGCCTTCCATTTTCTGTAACGCTAAAACCACATTCAGTGAATTCAACAGAATTCAAAATTCAGTGGGTGAAGAAGAGTAATACTGAAATATAGGGGCTTGCATTTTAGAGTTATGGGGGGGGGTCATTGTGATTAACCTGTCAAACACACTGTTGCAGATGGTTTTATACCTAAAACATATAATGGTAGATAGTATTCAAGATTTTCAGGGCCAACAATACTTGCTTTATTTTATTATCTTTGTGGCTTTTAAGTTATTAATAAACATGGCTGCAAATCAACAGATAGGAGGGTACGATGGGGAGGCCGATAGGGAAACCATGTGGGTAATGGGCCCGGCACAGTGCCTGGCTCTCAAGCACTGGTTGATTGTCTAGGCTCCGCCAGGAGTGTGTCTGGGGTGTTGAGAAAAGATGTATAGAGTCTAGTCCCTGCCTTTTGGTAACTCATGGTCTGATAGAAGAGAGAGGTAGTACAATGTGGTAAATGCAAAGATAGACCATACTGATAAAGGCTAGAATTGAGTCCTCAAGGGTGAGGAGGATGTGGCCAGCCTGTGGCATTGGTCTGAGAGGAGGGCAATGAACAGATATTGGCATTATCTTCAACGGAAAGGCACAACAGCTGATGTTACTATTACTATTATTTGCACATAACCGTATACTAGGCAGTGAACAGATGGAAAATGTCAGCTCTATCAAATCTGTGGTGGAGGAGAAATCCACATTTCCTGAGAACCTACTTTACAGATATACTTTTATGTGCTGTCTGATTTAATCCTCTGGATAATCCTGTGGTGTGTGGGTATTAGCACCATTATTTTTACAGATGAGGAAACTGAGGCTGAGAGCAGTGAAACAGTCACATGCTAGTAGTCCTGTGCCCACACCTGGCCCACAACTTAGTCTGAGGGCTTCATTAATACCTCAGGAGCAACAATTACACATTTGAGTGTAGGGACAACTGGCTAAGTATTCAAGTCAGTACTTGGATGAGACTAAGGCCAATGCCAAATACCACTATCATAGAATAAATTTCTGGGGGACAAAAATAAACTTGAAATTGTATTAAAAATTTAATTATTAGTATGATGTTATTGTTAACTTTTTAATAGTCAGATTTTAAAAGTTTGACATGAGAATACAGGAATAATAGTTTTTCAGCACCAACAGATAATGAAATGGCTCTGGAGGTCCAATACTGAAAATGTATGATATTAAACAGAATAACACTTTCAACTGAGGTGGAATCCTATCTGCCCATTTAGGGTCCTACTAATGGTGATGTCACCAAGTCATTAAACTTTCCTTCATTGATTAAAGACTTACCTGCTCTTATTATACTTAAATGTCTGGTATCTGATGAAGCAATTTTATTGACGCAACCCTACAAACTGAAGTTTCATGACCACTTGAAACGACTTTCTTGATATTATTTCAGAAGCAGACTGCAGACTGTTGCATTCACTTATAATTTTTTATTTTGAAAGACTATTTGGTTTAATGTGATAAACATTAGCACACAAAGCAAGTTTACAAAGCTTAGAATTATAATACAATATAACCTTCATAATTCTTTCTCATATTATTACTTTTAATTGTATAAACCTTTGTTGGCTCAAAAGAATATAGCTTCTTCGTCAAGTTATCCAATATACATTCTCTCAATACTTATATTAACTCTCCACCTATTTCTCTATTTATTTAACTCTTCGAAACTTTTTAATTTTAAAATTAATAATAAATATTATTGAAAAGTTTTAATACATAAATTGCTTTTGCAATCATCAAGAATCATTTTAGCATTTTATTCTTACAATAATAAATATATGTTTATTCTTCAATTGACTGATAACTGTCCAATTTATGAAGCTCAGACATTATATCAGGAATGGTTTCTTACATTTGAAAGTAGATGTTCAGTAATTAACAAGAATTTTGAATTATTTATCTTGCTTGTCTTACCGATGTTGTTGCCCTGGCTGGACTTGATGGTAAACTACACTTGATAACAATTCCAGAGAAGACAGAATTGCCTGTGAATTTGACATTCAACCATCTGGTCTCCCAAAGGCCATGGCCAGAGCCAAGGTTGAATAGCAGCTTCAGGCCCCATTTGGTGTGTCCTCACTAATAACCTTCTGAATTTCCCTTTAGTTGGAGAATAAGTGCGAGCGAAGCTCTCAAGCACCCCTGGTTGTCTGACCACAAGCTCCACTCCAGGCTCAGTGCACAGGTAACAAGGCTGGTTGTTTTTCCTCTTTTCTAGTTGGCCTCAGACTTTTGATGATCAGATGCTAGAGGCATTTCAGCCTTAAGTGATTTTCTTTCTAATTCATTTTCTTACAGCCTTCAAATCTTGTGCTAGTGTTAAACTGCTTAAAATACTTTTATTGAGCAGTTTGTGTTTTTTAAAATAAATGCTAATTATGTTGTTTAGTAGAGTATTATTTTCAGCATAACTATTATGTTTATTATTAAATCATTTTATCGATCATAAAATGAATTATATCACTGTACTATGCACACACACTTACACACACGTATAGCTTAGGATATAAAAACATATGAAGTTTTGGGAATATGTGCTAATATACATCAAGATAAATATGCCTTCTTAGAACAGAACTCCAAATTCTAATTTCTGTGCTTACCTGGTTTAGTCCACTCTGGGTACCAATAAACTATAATACTCAACTTGGTCCAGATACTAATATAAGTATGTGTGAAGAAGACTCTTACCAAAGACTAAATAAAGATAAGTGAAGTATTTGTTGAGAATAATTGAGCCTACACTCTGCAGTAACTTTTTCCAATAAAATCCCTATCTACTCTCATTGCCTTAATTACCATTTGTATTTCTATTCCCTTGTCTGTCCCTTTGGCACAAATTTCTTTCCTAAGCTTCAGATCCATATATCCCTCCGTGTACTGGACATTTCCACTTGGATCTTCTCAGTCCTAAACTGCACTCATCTCCCCCCCCCACCTCATCCTCAACCATCCCCTCAGGTGAAGGGCCTAAACTAGACCCCAGGGCATCTTCTTTGTTTCCTCCCTCTCCCTCAATCCTCTCACCTCATATTTAATTTATCTCCAAGTTCTGTACATTATTTTCCCTAATTACTTCTGGAATCTGTCTAATCCTCTCCATCCCCATGGTTATCCTGTCCTGGGACACCCCTCACCTGAATTACTACAATAGCCTGCTCTGGACTATCTCCATCCAAATCACCATGGATTATGTGAATAACACAGAAGCAGGTGTGTAACATTTAAGTAACTTTACTAAACATTTAGGATGTTCAATTGGGCAAGATACATATAGAGGCAATAAGCAATCTGTTCCTTTGGGCCCAGTGGGGACAGGTCTGACATGAGCATCAGTTAGGACAGCTGCTGTCATGCCCTGATGAAGCAGGCGCGTGACAGGCTGGCCTTTCCTCCATTTTTGCCCCTCGTCTCCCCACTCCCCGGGGTTTTGGAATGGAGCTTTTTCACCGACCAACAAACCTGGAGTGACTATGCTTCAGGTACTCATTTTTTCCACATCCAGTTTTTATTGAAATTAACTTTACTTCTAAATTCAGCATCAGTACTGAGTTTTATTTGTGTCTGAATATACCTTTCCTTGATAATTGGTACTGATGTCAAGTAAAAATAGACTTTTACCTAGTCGGTACCTCACCCAGACTGCATAAACTGCTTATTAGAGTTACCAACCTATTCTGGGCCAATTTTCCACCAATGTATTTTTATCCAAGCTTATTGGTGTCCAAATACACTTTGACGTGGTAGGACAATATAGAAACCACAGCAGATAATTAATGACATTATACAGTTTAAAAAGTGTTTAAAAATATTTTTAAAATCATGTAACAACAGCAACAAAAATCACCTTTTTGTTATTCTATCCAACTCCTGGTACCTAAGGTGAATAGATATTTCAAAAACAGTGAGAATTTTCTTTTTTAAAAAATAAATTCCATTGTACAAACTTAGTTAGTTATCATGAAAGTCATAATTATATGACACTGTGCCAGGCACTGTTCTAACTGCTTTACAAAAATTAACTCATTTGATCCTCATACCAATCCTCTGAAACAGGCCTTGTTATTATCCTCATTATATAGAGGAGGAAACGGAGGACAGGGGTTCAGTACTTGCCAGGATCCCACCACAGACAGGTGACGGAGCCAGCATCCCAGTGCAGGTGGTCCGCTCCGGAGTCTGGGCAGAGCTTCACTCTGCTCTCCTGCTGGATAATGGGCTCCTGGGCAAAGGGGGCCTGATGATGTTTCCAGAACCAGTCATGTACCACACAATTTTGGTGTTACTGAAAGCAAATATTCAAGCTTAATATATTTTACTTTTCAGTGAAACATTGAGACTAGTTTTTTCCAGAAAGTTCATTTTTTGGAATAATCTTGGTTCTGATATGTTTTATAAACATATCAGTTTATAAAATTTAACTTTATGTTGAAAATTTAACTCTTATCCAAAACTATTTACTCTTACATCTAAATGCCATCTTTTAAAAGTCATTTTGGGGCCGGCCGGGTGGCCCAAATAGTTAAGTGCACGCGATCCGCTGCGGCAGCACGGGGTTCGCCGGTTCGGATCCCGGGTGCACACTGACGCATCACTTGGCAAGGCATGCTGTGGCGGCGTCCCATATAAAGTGGAGGAAGATGGGCACGGATGTCAGCCCAGGGCCAGTCTTCCTCAGCAAAAAAAGAGGAGGATTGGCAGATGTCAGCACAGGGCTGATCTTCCTCACACACACACACAAAAAGTCATTTATAAACTTTTATCTCTTTTAATTGTTTCATGCTTAAAAGCACTTACTGCTTTGTAACCACTGAGCCTATAATTAGTCACTAAGTTTAAGAAGGATTTTCTTTTTTTCTTAGAAATGCTCTGCCTTCTGCAATATGTTCAAGATGACATGCTGTGGTTTTCAACCTTTCTATGTCCCCAGCCATCCATACATAACCCATCTTCCATCAGAAACAGCTCTCAACTGGGGTGGAGCAAAGCATTTCCAAACTACAAATCTATTAGAACTCAGCAAGCACCTACTGCAGACTTAATAAATGCTTTGGGGCCATAGGAAGGAAAACTGAACCAATATGGCAGTTTCTTTCCTCCCAGAGCTGCTAAGCTCTCTCCCTTTCCTTCCCATCCCAAGGGTACTACCCCAGCTCACACCCTCCTTCCAATTTACTGAACTAACAAAATAACCTACGAGCTGATGTTCAACCTCCATCCACTCTCTTCTCTAATTCACTGAAGCATTATTCCATTAATTACAACTCTGATCATATTACTCTCTGATCAAAAAATCTTCAAGTGTCCCCACTGTGCACACCAAGCAAACCCACCCAGCAGTCCAGGCCTGCCTCAGTACGTTCGAATCTTGGGTGTTCGGCCCTGTCTCCCCTCCTCCTTCCAGATCAGCCCGGATCCTAGCAATTGTCTAAAGCCTATTCTAAATGCCACCTCCTTTAAGACGGTGTCTTTCAATCCCCAAGCTGGAGGTGCTTTCTGTGTCTTCCTGAACCTCTCTTGTGGCACTTAGATAATGCTTGTCTACTACATTTGGAAACTTTTGGAAGGAGCAGTTTCTGTGTTTGACTCTCCTTTGTAGTCACTGCAGCCCAGTGACTCTTGGGCTTTGTCTAAGTGAATGTTTGTCAAAAGAGGTTTTGACAAAACACACACGTGTAAAAATTAAGTGTCATTAGGTGCTAAGCTCTTTGTCCCTGCCTCTTAGAGGAAGGGTAGTGATGACAGCAGCATTAGGGGAGAGTGGGATCCGTGTTTGAGCTGGACTCCAAAGGTCGGTCAGTGTATCTGTCAGACGGTTGTCAGCAATTAGGCTTCAAGAAAATACTTGAAGAACATTTTCTACTCAGCAGCAAGTTATTGACTCAAATGTTTTCATAAGTCAAGAACTGATGAAAAAAGTTCTAATCCTTCCCAAAATGTCTTCTGGTTTTCCTAGAAGAAGAAGAATTGCTGCTCTGACACCCAGGACCCTGTGGCCAAATAGTCTGTGGAAGGCACCCATCTGAAAGGTTGGTCTCAAGTCTTTTCCTGAAGAGGTGTTTGTGCAAGCCTTAAGAGAGAGGAGCAAGAAAGAAATGGGATGTTTGTTGCATGTGGAATGCAGGGCAGTGTTTTGGTTGAGAGAAGGGCTGCAAAATCAGACCGCTGTGCTTGTACTCTGGCTCTGCCATTTTCTAGCGAAGAAACCTCAGTTTCCTGATTTATGGGTTGGGGCTAGTCTTACTTCCTAAGCTTTTGAGTGGCTGCAATGAGATAATCCAAGCAAAGCCCTGAGAGCAGGACCTGACACACACTAGGTACTCAATAATTCTCTCAGTAGGTGCTAGTACCTGAAGAGAAACGGTCTCTTGTAGTCCCTACAACAGTGATGTGAGATCAGAGGAAGTAATAGCTTTTTTGTATAGATGGGAAAGCTGAGTCTTAGAGACTCAGAGGCGAAATAACCTGCCCAAAGCCATACTGCTAGTAAATGGTAGAGCGTCATCCTCTCAGGGGTCTCTGAATCTATAGCCCACATTGTTTTTCTGCCCTGAGCTGCCTCCTGGTCTTGGTTCACTCTTGGATCCCAAGAAACCACCACTTCATACAAATTCTTCTACTCTGCTTAGAATTTTGTCAGAATTCTTATGAGAGAGTTTTACACATGAATCTCTTCTATTATATTGATGGGCTAGCCCAATTTATGCTCTAAAGGAGAAGCCTAAGAAAGTGCACTTATTACAGAGGACTTTTAGAAATCCTAGCATTTACGTCCTTGTTGGGGGGCCATTCACCCTCCAGCAAGTCAGCTCCCTAATTTGGGGCAGTAAGTCCATGGTCATTTTCGCAGCTCAGTTTTAACAGCTGTATAGGACTCGTGACTCCTGAGTCTGCATTCTTGCTGCCCACTGGTCTTAACTTTTTATTCTGATTTGTGTTTATTCTGGTCCTGAGGTCTTTGTCTGTTTGACTGTTTATATTCTTGTAAGCTGCCTTGAATCTTTTGTGGAATGAGATCGGGTGGAAATAAATCAGTAAATCTTAACAAAAGTCACAAACCAGTGTTAGGAAAGCACTGGCCTTTGGTGTAAGGGTCACTTACTTAAGAGTCTATCACTTATGTAGAAATCTATGAAAAGTCAACAGGAAGGCTTATGCTTTCTACTTACAGAAACCATTCCCATTTGTCAAAAATAGCAAGGACATTAAAGTTTCGGGAAGAGTAGAAGGTAGTTTTGTGTTGTGTGACAATGTGGAGAAAGAAGGGCCTCTCCGTGCTCCCGGGCCTGGGGTGCGGGCTCACTGAGGTGCAGCCCGGCCTCCGCAGTGAGCTGGGAGCACAGAGCCTACAGGCAGCCGGCTTGTTGTTCCTTCTCTCCCTCCTCTGCCCGCATCCTTCCCCCAGCAGCAGTTTGGTCCCAGGCTACCACAAACCCTGAGGGTTTGCCACAAACCACCTTCCCACCATAAGCACTGCACTCACTTTTGAGGCCTGGTGAGAATGAATTCATTGGGTAACAGGAGGTTGCACCGCAAGGCAGGCCTGTCGCCAGGGTCTGGCGGGCGGGAAGTATGAGGAGGAAACGGTGGTGGGCGGTGGACGAGGCCTTCCGCGCCAAGTCGGCGCTTTGAACCCAACACGATGGAAGAGAGTGGCAGCCCAGGCATTGGCAGTTACGCAGAGGACAAAGATGACAGCATCCGAGCTGGTCAGAGTGGCCCAGTTGGGCACTGTCTTGTTAGGATCGCTTGCGAGCCCTCTCTCTGGACGGGGGCACGTCGGCCCCCCGATGGTCTCCCGGCCTGGCGCCTTCCTTTCCTGGGCCCCTCCAGCCGCGTTTGCCCATAAACATTCACTGCGGTCCCCCTACAGGCGGGAAGAGTCGTTTCCGGTCCACGCAAGGTGGAGGCTTCCTAGTTTACCTTCTTACTTTTTTTTTCTGAATTAAAATGTAAGCTTAAGATACTAACTCTGAGAGCAGCCTTATTTGAGAAGAATGTTTTGTTTTTTTTTAAAAAAGATCATTCTTCACAATATTTCCTGCCAGGATAAGATGGGGTTTTTGGCAAGACATATAATGAGTAAAACCAACTTTGAGATAATATTGATTTTTAAAATCTGGTGGTTGAAGATTATTCCTGTGGAAAAAGAGCGACTTCCAGGCCCTATGAATGAGGCATAATCCACAATGTAAATTGAGGCATATAAATCTCCTGCAATTTGTTAGAGGTTTTTTGATGGGCTGAGGAAACACTCAAAGTCAACCTGATGGCATTTCGTTTCTTGTTTCCAATGCATCTTTTGCCAACCTGTGAGACACAAATCGAGGACACCTCCTCAGAGCCATAGGAATGATGTAGGGCAGCAAATGGTGTGCGGGCCTAGGGTCAGATGTGGTCGTAAAGCCAATGGAAATATTCCCACACACGGTTCTTGGTCTCGCTTTGATGCTGGGATCAAGCTGACAGAGTGGACAGGGTGGCAGCAGCTTGGGGAGCTGGCTGTGCTTCAGAAGAAACAAAGAGGCCTTGTCTTTCGATACTGCAAATAGTACCAAAATATCTTGCATAAACTGGAAAAAAAAACCCAATTCTGGTAAGCAGTGGAATCCTTCAAGAGGTTTCTTTTTTTTCTCTCACATACACACATACATTACAAAAAAATCATGTGTGGTTTTCCCAAGGGGCACAACCAACTAATTACAATTTTAAAAGCCCTGCTGAATTAACAAGAGTCATATTTTGTTTGCTTTGCAGGAAAACTGCTGTGGTTGCTGCTGCTTTGAGAAGATTTTTGGAAAAATCAGCAGTTCTGATGCCTTGACCCCTGTGATGACTGGTGGCCATAGCGAGGGAGCCGCCACACTTGAACTCTGAGCACCTCTGCCACATTCGGGGACACCCAGTTCTGCAGTCCTGCACCCCTCCCCTCACACCCCACTCCCATGGTATCGCACTTGGGAAGACGTTTCCTGCCGTCTTGAGTATTCATTTTATATTTTTACTTTTTGATTTTAGTCATTGGGGCAAGGGGCACATCATCTCTGCTATTTCTCATATTACTAGAGCAATCATACTGGAGATTTATTTGAGATTTTAAAACCTGGAGGATGCATTTAGAGGGAGAAAACTGCTTTCAGTCATTAAACTGTGCCTTTCAGAGTGAGTATATCACCAGAAAATATTCTAAGTCTGGTGTACCCTTGAACACTTCATTTCTCAGACTTTATTATTTTGATTTGGTGTTAAATCAGGTGAATCCAATTGATAAATAATTTGCTTTCTGGAACATAAGCTTTCTTTGAATTCTGAGGCAAGAGGCGTCAGCCATTATATCTTCCATTTATTCTGAACTTTCCTCCAAGCACATCAGTTTCTTCCAAGGAGCTGATTCTACTTTCGAATGAGTGACATGCATTTTCACAATGCAGTCCCTCCTCTCTTCTGACTGAACATTCATCTGCATGAAACACATTGGTTTTGAGAGGCGATGCAAGAGGTATCTGTTTATAGTGAGTCTTTAAAATCACAACCTTTGGAATAATGTTAGCCGTCACGAGAGCTTTCTTCACGCTGCAGCTGTCGAGAAGAGATGGGTCTTGTGCATCCTGGGGAAGGACAGCGCTTTGTTTCCAGTGTTGAAGTGACTTGGGAAATAGCACTCAAGTTTCTGAGTAAACTCAAAATTTTATGAAGACCAGTGATCTCACCTACTCGAGTCTCGTGTGGCTGCCTCATGGTTGTGAAGAAAGAGCATTCAGAAGCCAAAGGTGAGGGGAACACCTCTGCTCACTTTTTGGACACGAGAATGATTTCCAGTTGGAAGTTCCTTCTTGTTCCTGAGGTCGTGTGCCATCTCGTTACAGATATTTAATAAGGGAAATGAGCCTTACTGTATATGGCACAGAAGGCCACAGGGCCTCCAAAGAGTGAAACATGGGCATCATTTCTTTAAGAAGAGAAAAGGCAAAGCCACGCTTAACTCCTATTACACATCCGGCACCAAGCTCTCCATTCAGCTTCCAAGCTTTCCTCACACTTTCCATTTCCAAATAACTATTGTGTTGAGATCAGCTCTGATAAGTCTTTATTCTATAGCTGTGAATCATCCTCAGCTCCGGTTGTCATCATAGCAATGAAATGCAATAAGAATAACATGGCGGCTGTATGAGTGAGGGCAGATTTAATTTGCATTGGCTTTTCTCTATTATTTCTCATATCCACCTAGTGAATCCTTAAGGCATGGCCACGAATAACTATACGTGCACCATCCTTATTCTCATGTGTAAGGTAAAGGAGTAGAGACAGAAGAAAATGTGTAATTTAGTGAAGGCCACATGCCGATTTAGTGGTCATCCCAGCTATAAAACTGACTCCTTTCTAGCCTTTGCTCTTACACTATGATGCATTTCTTTTTTCCTTTGGCCTATGCATTTATCCAAGGTTGGTTTCTCCTGTTCTTGTTATGTGACTATGCTTAAAATGTTTAATTTAGTTTCCTTAAAATAAAAAAACAAAGCGCTGTGACTGAAGTGTTATATTACTGTGCTATCTTTAGCTGATGGTATTCATCCAGTCTAGAAAAATACAAGCCAGTGCGTGCATTAATACTACTCAGACCACAGAGAGCTGGCATTCACTCAAATGCTAAATAGGACACAAGGGTCTGATTTGAAACCCCTTGTGGAAGGGCGTTTTCTGTCCTGTGGTGTAGATTCTCTATCAGATTGAGCAGGAGGTCTTTTGCATGTGCACTTTGCATCCAGCTCTGACTCATGTTGGCAGATAAACTTTCTCCAGGCCTCAACACACGTAGAAGAGATAGCTCTGGCCGAATGAAGGAATGATTTCTTTGCCAAATTAATCCACTGATGACCCGGCAGTTAGTAGGTGTTTTTTTTTAGAGGTTTAGAAAGCAGACTCTACTTTGAAAAGGGATCCCTTTGAATTTGTAGTTAAATTTCCACATTTGGATGGGGAGGCATCCCCATGCCAGTGGGGGGCCTTTTATATGAGAACTGAGGATAGTTTGCATTGCAGAGTTGATTGTTACAGTCTAGAGTTATGGTGAAATGGGAGAATTTCAGTCTCTCACTCATTCTGTCTCCTCCCTCCACACCAACGTGTGGCTGCTCCAGCAGCAGCCCATAACTTGGTAGCTTGCTGCTCTGACGGGAAAAGGGGGCTTTGCAAAGTGGAGGAATCAAACCAGATGTGAGCATGGATCCAGAGAAGCCAAGTCTGGCTAGACTAGGGCTATTGTGATCAATTTTTCCAAGAAGTCATTAGGATTTGAGAGCCTGTATTTCTCCTCCACCCTCTTAATGGACATGATGGCTTTGCTCACTCACATTAGGCAGTTGCCATTTTTTTAGTTAAGTGGAGGAAATTAAGCACCAATGTGGCACTATCTACCTACTGGAGAGAAATAAACCTCACGAACTATTAAGGAGAAAGCATGCCCACATTTGTAATTTATAAGATATCAACACTTATCCAGAATTTGTTGCTATTTAAAAATCAGGAAGAAAAGGGCTCGTGCCCCAGTTTGTGGCATGAAACCCTCTGGAATGGATTCTCACCTGCATAACTTGGGGAAAAGATTTCTGGATTGAAATCGAGTAACTCTCATGTCTGTTGAGTACCATAGGTTTTGTTTTTAGTTGTTTTTTTTCTGACTTGATATTATTTTGCTTTCTTTCCTCAAAAGTGTAAATAGGCATGCCGCCCTTGCCATGGCATACTTTGATGTGAATATGTCTTGAAAGTGTGAGAATACTTACATTTTCACCATTTTTTATTTTTTATTTATTTTTTTATTTTTCTGTGGGGAAGATCAGCCCTGAGCTAACATCCATGCTAATCTTCCTCTTTTTGCTGAGGAAGACCGGCTCTGAGCTAACATCTATTGCCAATCCTCCTCCTTTTTTTTTCCCCAAAGCCCCAGTAGATAGTTGTATGTCATAGTTGCACATCCTTCTAGTTGCTGTATGTGGGACGCGACCTCAGCATGGCCAGAGAAGCGGTGAGTCGGTGCGCGCCCGGATCCGAACCCCGGGCCGCCAGTAGCGGAGCGCGTGTACTTAACCGCTAAGCCACGGGGCCGGCCCATTTTCACCATTTTTATGGCTAATAGTATAGCAAAATTTTTTCTTGTTTTAGAATCAAAATGTGGATTTTGTATTAGGGAAACGAGAGTCTTGCTCTTTATTTCATTCCTTTTTGTCCTTTCTGCTTCCACCACCCCTGTCCCAGCCATTAGGCAGGGGTGCCCGTCTCATACATGTGCTTGTTCAGTTTGGACTACAGGCCAGTTGAGGGAAGCTCGTTTGGAAAATTTACTTGTGAAAGTGTAACGAGAGGGCGAGGAGGGCCCCTCAGCAGTGCGGTCAGTGGACTCGGTTCCGCTCTCCGTCCCTGGCAATTCTGTCATGGGTACAGGCACGCCGCCGCTGAAGTTTGTTTCTCAACAGCCACGGTGCTCCCTACCCTGCTTTTGCCCTATCTTTTTAATTTTTCGCTTCTTTCCGTCTTTCTTAAGTTAGAATCAAAGTCCATCTTTTTATCCATCATGATGCTCCCCTAAAACCTTTTGGAGATGAAAATTGTATTTCCAAGAGGCAAATCGCTTTCTGTCCTAAAGGAAACTCGATGCTGGACTTATTGGGTTGAATTCCTGGATTAGGATGACTTCCTTGCATAGCGTGAAGTCTACTAGAGTTTCTCATGTTAGAGTTCTATGTATTTCTCCTAGCTCCACTTTAGTTAGGTGTGTTTTCCACAAGGGGTCTTTACATGGGCAGTTTCACCTTCCATGAAGGCTTATAGCTCAACTACTCCTTATTCAAAAGAGCAGAAAACAGCTGAGACCTGAGTGTGCATAGTCTGACTTAGATGTATTTTGTAGTTGTCCCAGCTGGTAGATGTCACTGAGTCCTTTGGATGAGGTTTATCAGTGTAGATAAGAAATAAAAATATATTCATAATGTGCTGATTGCATATATCATGTATTTTTTTATTTCTGAACATAGTTTTATTCAGCTGTATTTCTTTGCCTTATAAAGATGCATAACAGTCATATGTGTATTATATTGAGGAATAAACATGGACCTTACTTATCCTTTGGCTAATGAGTTAAATTATTCAATAAATGGACTTGGCAAATGCAATACAAACTCTCTCCTTTATGACAAGGTCTGACATGTTAAATCCTGTGATATTAAGAAACCAAGATACCTTAAAAGAGTGATGTCACACTTATAGGTGCTCCAGAACCATCCATAGGAATACTGGTCAGCCCCATGGGGGAAAAACAGCTCCCCCATTTGAAAACATGGTGGTTACAATGTACCAACACAAGGTTTAGATGTCTTTGCCATATAAATACAAAAATATTGACTGAGATATATGTAGAGTGCCTAGTTCCAGAATAGTGTATAATAAATTATTAAGGCAATTCACAGCAATCCAACCCCTTTAATGTACCTTAGTGAATATTCCTCAGACCCTACGATAAAGTTAATTTGTATATTGGGACCCACAAAATGAAGGCCACCCCAGTGGCCCAGCCTTTGTCACAAATCTAAACCTAAGTCAGCCTGCACTTATGGGAAACACCTGTCAAGAAATCCTAACACACACAACAATCATAATCCTCCAATTCAGCTTTATCAAGGTCACCTTACCCTAGAAGATAGGATCTGCTGGACTTATAAGGAAATCTCCGAGCTCTTGGCCACTTGTGCCCTGTTTCCACATTGCCTCTTCTAAGCCCTATAGAACCTCCTCTTGCTCCAAATCCCTTGGGAACAGTGCTCCTCCAACACTGAACTCCTCCAACCCATGGATTGTTTTCCGTTGAGTAAAGGACATCAAATTTGTCACTAAATTGTATTATTTT